TCATGGAGGAGGAAAGTACTTGCACTGGTATAAAAATGGGTCAGCCTGACATGTTGGGTGGACTTTAATGTGAACAATGAAGGATATTTGCCCAGTGGGAAGATCAGCAAACAATTTATTTGTTATTCCCTTCATTTAGAGAGGGAGGTGACCTGAAGGGCAGATATATATTGAGCTTTGGCAGAGTTAATAACCTGATGGGCCTGGAAGAAATAAGACTAGAAAATCAGATACAAGGAGTATAAGCAAGAGGCATGTGGATGGGCCTGCAGGAGTGAGCACAATCAAAATCATGCCTATCAGACAGTCAGTAATGCAGAGAAAGCTCTCTACTACCAGGTGGACATCGTCACCTGTCCAGTGGATATGAGCCCGCCTCCTTTCTCATTTACTCCAGAGTTCGTGCAATAGACCCATAAAGATAATGATCTATTGTGGCTGGATTTAGACCTTGGTGACAGAGACAGGGACAATGCATGGACCCAGGACATGGTCTCCCTTTCCAAAGCTAATATAGCTATTGTCACTTCTAACTATTAAATGCCAGAAACAGACGGACAATAAGCCACTGAGATGATATGATTCCTCCAGGGTACCATAGTGACCCAATGCCTGCAGGGTGGCAGGCTAATTAAGTTGGATCCTCTCCACCTTGGAGTGGGCAGCAATTTGTCCGAAGTGGGTGAATTATGGTCTGGATACATGTTTGTCTTTCCCCTCATAGTGCCTTCACTGGCACCTGCGTCTGACAGCCTAAGAATGCCTAATCCAGTGATATAATGCCCCACATAATGTTGCTTCTACCAAGGGACATTTGCTGCTGTATCAAAGAAGACACAACAGTGACCTTATGGTCACAATATGTTTTATCATCCACCAGCCACAGGCCTGATGGAACAGTGGAATAATATTAATCCTGAAAAGCTCAGCCAAGACACCAGCATGAGGAAAAGCCTTAGAATTGGGATACTGCCCTCTAGGATTGGGATATACACCAAACCAATTGCTGATATAGAATGCTATATTTATCATACCCAGGGCTCACAGTTCTGGGACTAAGGGTAGATCCTTCCTATAGTCAATAGCAGTGATCCACTGATGGTATTTGCACTACCTTTCCCTAAAGCCTTATTCTTGGCCAGTTAGAACCCTAGTTCTTGCGGTGGAGGCAGGGGAGCAGTGCTGTTCTTTCAGTGGTAGCTGTGATTGGTTCTACATGTGATCTGGTTACTATGTGTTCCTCATGATAATAGACCGACACAGATGGTATGAGATTACCATACTCACCACATGAGGAGACAAGGAGATAGGGCTATTGCCACAAAATCTGAACAAGAAAAAATATGTCTGGAACTTGAAAGTACTCCATGCCCTGATGGGAAGGAGAAATTGCAGCAACCAAGACTCCAAAGGAGTAAGAAAACGAAGGGCTTAATTCATCAGGATTTAGGTCTGCAACACCCTACTCAACATCGACTCAGAGCTGAAATGCTGAAATGCTGGTAGAGTATGAGGGAAAGTCTGGGATTAGTGGTAAAGGAGATAGGTGATGAATATCAATTAAGGCCTTAAGGACCAGTTGGGGCATTGGATATTGTGGCTGAATTTACTACCACTCCTTTAAGTCTCTGGGGAATTGCAGCTTGCCATTACTCCAAAGGATTATACTTAAATTCTTCTCTCGGGAAAGATATGAGGGACTTTGAATTGATGCTATTGGGATATCAGCAGATGGTGCAAGTACATATAAGTTGTACATGGGGTTGTCTGTCCTGGGCCATTTGTGTTCTTTTCTATATTGGCTCAATCCTAACATCTCTTCACGTTTTTGACCACTTGCTCAATGGTGAGCCCCAGATAACTGTCACCTTAACTCTTAACACCGTTAGCTATATCTGCCTTTCTCAAGGTGAAGACCAGGCGTTAGCATGTCCCCAGTAGCAACCACCTTGGAAGGATTCACAGTAGTTGTGACAACTGTCATATGGGGACACACCCAGGAAAGTTCTGTCTCCATTAGAGTATTTTTTCCCCAGTGGCTACCCAAAAGGGCATATTATACAATCATAAAGGCAGAGGACTTGATGAACTATACAATGAATTATTATCAATGAAACATCGAGTACCATAAGCAACTGACATATAAATGTCCCTCTCTCTGACTGTTAACAAACTGCTTCAAGGTGTAAAGGTTCTAAATGACTTCTTTAGATTTGTTTCACATGACCCAATAACCAGCCATGTTTTCGTGTGAAGTTGTGCCCAGTTCAGTCATGTACCACCTGTGGCTGCTTTCTTCTCTTTCCTGTATCACCTCTTTTTTTAACCTCACTGTGGTTGACCTAGCATTGCTTGATGTCAGACTGTACTTCCTAGAGAATTTGGATTGAGATGCCAAGCAAAGTTTTTAATCTAGGAAGTTTTTGAACACTGACTGACAAATTAAAATGTGATTATGAATAACTAGCCCTAGCCTCCCAGATTGGAAAGTTTACCAATTTTCATTCACCAAGTTATCTTCTATCCTTATCTGTTTTAATGTGTGAATATACTTCTCTATTTTAATAAAATTAATGTGCCCATTAATTTCTTTTTTAAAAAAAGTGCAGTGACTCTCTTACTTGACCCCATTTTGTTTTGCAATGTTTTCATTACTCTGTCTGGTTTATTACACTTTTATCATATAATTCTCCTGCATTTAACTTTTCTCAGTGCAAAGAGACAGTATGCTAGTTGCTTGCCCTTTTCTGAATGTGTACCATTTTTACTGTCATCTCTTAGAACAAACAGTTTAATCAGTATGCTTCTCTCTATAAATTGTGGCATAATGGAAGAGTGCAATTAGTTTTTAACAAAAGTTATGGAATCCTCACAACTTGTATTAAGACACTCCTCACATAATACTAAACTTTTCTGATAACATTTTGCCAAACTTATCTTAGGCAAGGGAATGTACGCCACCCCCAGTGTCCCAGAATGTAGTCAGGGGCTTCACTATCTCTCTTTTACCTTCTGTGTCATCCCCTCTTTAATTATTCTTTTCGATGATGATTTAGAGATAATATGAATTGTAACCCTATGGTGCATCTATTAGTATTAAATAAGAATAATTAGCTAATGTTTTCATTATAGCTGTGTATTGAAAGCAAAACTGAAAATTTACATAGTAACTTGATATATTATACTTGCTATCTATCTCAGATTCAGCCTAGTTGTTCAGATTCTCCTAGACTTGGATATGTCAAGCTTTTGGAATTACTCATTTGCTTTAGTGGTTGTGGCTTTTGCCTGAGCTTGTACATCCTGCCATTTGAGTGCAAACAGAGAACTCAACTCCCCCCTCCATCTTCAATCTTCTCTTTGTCTCCCTTTTCGTCATGAATTATTTTTTACTCTATTGTCTATTCATTAATTACTTTTTCTCCAATGAATGTTGCATCATGAATACTAATCTTTGGAAAAGTTGAGAGTGAGATGAATGTTCACAAAAATTATAAAGACCTCAGATGAAAATTGCAGCAATTCAACATTGCAATCCCATTGGAACAAAACAAAGACAGTTACAACCATTTGAAAGCAAGTCACATTTTTGTACACCATCCATTATTCCTGCATTTAACAGAATGTTAAAGATTCTACATCTTGTGAATTTATTAGCTTGGTATTTAGCGTGTTTCATGGCCAAAATAGCAAAGAAGCTTCATTATTACAGGTTAAATTAGCCTCATGAAAATGTTGTTGGTAAAAGGTTACAGAAATGAATAAGAGATCTAACCAAGCAGCATATTGGACCATTTATCACTATAATTTTAAAAAGGCATTCTGATGATTTAAATTAATTGGCTAAAGGGTAGAGATTTAGATAAAAGTTAATAGTTGAAGCCCAAATGACATGGTTAGCTAGCTCTTCTTTTTAATAAAGAGGGAACAACGCATACTCATAAAATAGTTTTGTATATTGCCCTTTTGGCAGAAACTGAAGCCAAAAAAAAAAAAATACCTGATAATACATTTTATTATTTATTTATTTATTTTTGATTTGATTTATTTTGGAGACGGGTCTCACTCTGCCACCCAGGCTGGAGTGCAGTGGCTGCAATGGCACTATCTCAATTCACTGCAGCCTTTACCTCCTGAGTTCAAACGATTCTCCTGCCTCAGTCTCTCGAGTATTTGGGACTACAGGTGTGTGTCACCATGCCTGGCTAATTTTTGTATTTTTAGTAGAGAGGCAGTTTCACCACGTTGGCCCCGCTGCTCTCAAACTCCTTACCCCAGGTGATCCTTCCATCTTGGCCTCCCAAAGTGCTGGAATTACAGACGTGAGCCACCATGCCTGGCCGGGCTTTTGTTTGTTTTAAAGAAATATTCGTAACTATATTATATATAAGCTGAATTGCCTAAGCATCTCGTGTTTGCTTCCAACATGGTCAGATAGCCCTTCCCACATTCTTTGATTTTGTACAGTTGAAACTTAAAAACTTAGCCATCTTTATATAGAGGTTTTACTATTTGCTTTTTTTTTTTTTTTAAATTTGAGACGGACTCTTACATGTTGCCCAGGCTGGAGTGCAGTGGTGCGATCTTGGCTCACTGCAACCTCCGGTTCCTGGGTTCAAGTGATTTTCCTGCCTCAGCCTCCCAAGTAGCTAGAATTACAGGCACCTGCCACCATGCCCAGCTGTCTATTTGCTTTTTAACTAAATGTCTTCCCTATGTATGTAAGAATAGGAAGTCTACCATCTTTGTGAAAATTTTATCAGGGAATTTAACATTTCTTATTTTTTGCCCTTTGACATAATGTTTTTATTTGTGTGGTCTAAACTATTCATTTTTTGTTTGTGCTAAAAGGCTTTTAAGAAATATTTAAGCTAATACACTCACAGAACTTTCCTGGGAATGATGATGAAATAATTTTTTATTATTGCAACAACTCTGACTAAGGGTTGTGTGTCTACGGATTTAAGGTAAAAATAGTTTCTCTTTTTCACTCTTAACAGAAACCAGGAGATAAAAGAACTTGGTGAGCTTTCTCCACATTGGGACAATCTGCGAAAAAACGTCCTTACTCACTGTGATCAAATGGTGAATATGTACCAAGACATTCTGACAGAACTTAGCAAGGAAACAGGTGTGGAAGCAAAAACTCTACTTACTTAAAGTGAATTGAATTTTCTGCATGTGTAATGAGAAAAAAATTAAACACATTTTATGGAGATAGGAGAACTGGAGAATTTTTAAAACTCTTTTATTTCTAACTTTAACATCTTAAAACAAAGAAAACACTACCCTATTTTACCTTACAGTATTGTTATGTGCATAGTTGAGACAACTTTTTAAAATATTGAATTTCTGAGAGGAAAAGCAAGTTATAAATATAGGATATGTTTTTCTTTTTGAAGTTCTTGTAACATTTTTCTGTCAGGTTTATCTTTTAACACACATATTAATTTATCATTATTTACTAATAATGTTTAATTTCTGATTTCCATCTAGGATCCTCTTTCAAATCAAGCAGCAGCAAAGGAGAGAAAACATTAGAATTTGTTCCAGTAAATCTACATCTGCAGAGAATGCAGGTACACAGTCCTCACTTGAAAGGTATCATCATAAATTATTCTTTTAAAAATGGCAAATTATGTTACAGTGTGTACTTCTTTAAACAGCTTGAGTATTGGCAGAATTCAATAGTTTAACAGTTATATAAAGTTGAAAATGAAACAATTGAACCTCATAATGACCCTAAATGTTGCTAAAGAGACTATGATATTCTTGTTGCTGTATTTTTGGTAAATACTTTGTAAATGTAGCACTTGGATTGAGGTAGAGATAAAAATGCAAAATGGGTAGCAGCACATGTAAGTAGTATTAACAGTAGCTAATAGTTAACACTTGTGGCCATTTAAATTAGAAAAAAAAAGAAAAAACAAAATTTGTTTATATTTTTCCTGTCTTGAGAAATCAAAGCCCAAACGTAGACTAATATGGTAGTTTTTAAATGTACTTACTGGTAAATATCAACAGAAACTCCCTTTGCTATGAGAAAAAAAAGTGAGTATAGTAAGGTAGAAGGTGGTAGTGTATTCAAGTTTACTCAATTCTAAGAAATACTTGTCAAAGAGAAATATATAGGTTTCTCTGAACACACTTGAAAAGGGTCCAGAGTGACCAATATGATGACATATTTATTACCATTCTAAATAATCCCTTGCCATTTATCAAAAATATGTTTTTCAATGTCTTTTCACCTCCCCTTTTCATTAACTTATCGCTATAGCCTTTATGCAAATTTAGGATGACTGTATGCTCGTTTGCTGGCAAAAGTCTGAGACTATGTCCCCGTCGCTGCATATGCCTATGCCCAGTGTCAATGACACCCTCGCTTCTTTTCCTTCTTAAAAGTCTTCCTTTTTAAATGACAAATGCTGTGGTCCTCCTACTAATACCCATCTTTTAGGGGGCTTTAGGATAAGTACGTGAAAATGTATACAAACATACATACAGAGACATCTATATTTTCATTCCAACACTGTTTTGTAGCCCTTGTCACAACATAGGAGTTAACAGGTTTAGAAAGGTTAAAACACAGAGCCATTGTATACCATTAGTGAAAATGTAAACTGGTGTAGCCACTATCGTAAAAACAAATATGGAGGTTCCTAAAAAATCTAAAACTAAAGCTACCATATGGTCCAAAATTCACACATCCAGGTATTTATCCAAAATAATTGAAATCAGTATCTCAAAGAGATGTTTGCACTCCCACATTCATTGCAGCATTGTTCACAGTAGCCAAGACAGAGAAATGTCCGTCAATAGGTGAAAAGATAAATTGTGATATGTACAAAGAGTGGAATAGCATTCAGCCTTATAAGGAAGGACATCCTGCCATTGGAGCAAACATGGATGAACCTGGAAGATATTATGCTAAGTTAAATAAGCCAGGACACAGAGGGACAAATACCACGTGATACTACTTTTAAGGAGGAATGTAAAATAGTCAACTGCATAGAAGCATAGGGTATAATGGTGGTTTCCAGAAGTCTTTGGGGAAGATGGAAAAAGGAGGCATTAATCAAAAGGTACAAAGTTGAAGTTATGCAAGATGAGTAAGTCCTAGATATCTACTATACAATATAGTGTCTATAGTTCACAGTATTATATTGTATACTTAAAAAACTGCTGAGAGAGCGGATCTTAAGTGTTCTTATTATACACATACACATTAACAATAATAGTGATAATAAAGAGAGTAAGGAAACTTTTGGAGATGATGGATAGGCTTATGGCATAAGTCGTGGCAATGGTTTAAAGAGTATACATTTATGTCAAACGTTATCAAGTTGCATACATATAATAGCTTTTTATATGTCAGTCATACCGCAGTCATGTGGTTTTAAAAACTGAAAGTGAAATCTCAGTTCTGCGTTAGAATTGTCTGAACTTTTGTAATTTGAAAAATTAAACTTTATTGTTTTCACATTTTTGCATACCAATCATGTATATACCGCTAGCTGATTTGAAAGTTTAAATGTGATTATAATGATTCTGATGTTTATGTTTTTATACTTGGTGATGAAGTAGATGAAATTTTAATTTAGGTCTTATTCATCACAAATTATGTCAAGTGAAAGAACAGAAAAACAAAAAGAGAGAGATGGATTGGCCCAAGGCATTTGAAAACTGCTGTGGTCTGAATGCGTCCCCCAAAATTCATGTGTTAGAAACTCAATCCCCAATGCAACAGTATTGGGAGGTGAGACCTAAGGGAAGGTATTTGGATCAAGAGAACTCTACACTTATGAGTGAATTAATGCCATGATAAAAAGAGCTTTCAGGAGCAAGTTCACCCTCTTTAGCTGCTATGCAAGGTCAAAAAGTTTATTCTCTCTTGCTTTTCCACCTTCCGCCATGTAAAATCACAGCAGAAGGCTGCCATCAGATACCAATGCCTTGATCTTAGAATTGCTAGCCTTCAGAACTGTTAGAGAATGATTTATATTTTATACATATTTTTTATATTTTATATTAATATATTTTATATATTTTTGTATAAGTTACCCAGTCCATAATATTATGTTATGGCAGCACAAAATGGGGTAAGACAGTAGTTCTTTTTTGCTTACTGTCTGTTAATAGTTTGAATAGAACAATATGTAATGAGTTTTAAAATAATAAAGTGTTAACAAGTATTGAAGAAGCTAAAACACCTAAGAACTGTCTGACAAGCAACATAATATTTTTCTAATAGCCAAAATGAAAAGCCTTTTATGATACAGTAAAATGTTTGTATCATTTTAGTGTGTAGCAGCCCTGGGCTTGAATTGTAGCACTACCACTTTTTACATGAGCTGAGTCCGCTATTTCATCTTTCTAAGCCGTTTCATTCTCATTCCTGATTGAGTTAGAGTATTTAAAACACATAGAATGATAAAAATAATAGTAGTTTTATTATACATGTGGCATTTTCCATCACTGGAACAAAGTGGATCTGTCTGTTTTATCAGAGCTGATGACACTGGAGAAAATTGATCAGGTAAGAGCCTATTAAAAATCAACGAAGTCTTGAACTAAGGAAATAGCCAGATTTAGAGTAAAGATGATGTAGAGATACGTTTTGGAGAATTCATCACATGCAAATACTTAATGACTGATGTAATAAGGCAATGAGAAAAGGATAATTTGTTTTACAGCCATGGTTAGATGACAGTGTCATCAAACCAGATAGATTTGTTTGGGGCCAAATACATATGAATTCATATTTAGTTATGCATTCAAATGTTTGTTGATTAACCTTAAAATACTTCCACCAAACAAATTGTGATTAAAGTGGCCTTTTACTTCATACTTCTTTCTTGAAGATGAAAGAGTCATGTACTATGCTGTTTTCCAACATACCATCTGAAAAATGAGTAAAATAGGGTGAAGGCAATATGTTTAGTTTCTGATTCTCTGATCTGAAAGAAAGAATCTGGCAACTAAAATAAAGAAATTTAGAAAAGCAAACAGAATATGTGTGTGTGTGTGTGTGTGTGTGTGTGTGTGTGTGTGTGTATGCATGCACTTTCTAGCTTGTTTGGTTTGGGATATGTATTAGTTTTCTAGGGCTGCCATAACAGAGCACCACAAACTGGGTTGTTGAAATAGCCAAACTTTTTCACAATTCCGGGGGATGGAAGTCTGAAATCAAAATGTCATGAGGGCCATGCTTCCTCTTAAACCTACAGAGTAATCCTTCCTTGTCCCTTCCTGGTATCTGCTGGTTTGCTGGCAATCTTTGGCCTGCTGATGTAATATGCCAATCCTCTCTCTTGCTCATGGTGTTCTTCTGCCTTCTGTGTATGTCTGTTTCTGTATCCAAATATCCCCTTTAAGGACATGAGTCTTATAGGATTAGGATCCATCTTAATGAGTTTATTTCAACTGGATTATATCTGTAAAGACCTTATCCAAATAAGATCACATTCTGACGTATCTTTCTTGTCGGGTACAAGTAAACCCACAACAGGATTTAGAAAGGAATTTCTTACTTGTAGTGACAAATATCAAGCAATATAGGAAAAACCAAAATTTTAATGGAACAAACCTAGGGTAATACCCATGAACTAGAAGATTTTTGACAAAGCAGTTAGCAGAAAGACTGGTTCTGGTCTTTGAAGAGCTAAGAAGAAAATATGGCGATAAACTAGATATCGTAAGGGCCATATTAATGGGAAAAGTACTGAATTGTATTGCATATATAACTGCATGTTAAATTATCAAGCTTATATTTTAAAGATATTTACATAATATTAAAAGTTATTATTTGAAACTGGAGTTCAGATTAAGTAGCTGCTATGTAGACTAGATCACCAATCAGAGGTTGAAAACTCCACTGAAATTTTGGGCCCTTACCACTTACTACTTTGACTTTAACCATGTTATTTGACCTCTCTTAGTGTCATTTTATTATTTGCAAAATGAAAAGGTTAAAAGTTGTCATAGGTGGTAGTGATTCAAATTTTCTACTTTCTTATATAACATATAGTTAACAGATTTTAGATTGCAGTTAAATTTATTTAAGATTTGTGGCTACTGATTTGAATGTTTAGCTGAATTATTATTGCAAGATAATAATGCAAGTAAGATGGGCTAAGCCTTGGTGTTTTACTGGCAAGTTATTTGGATGTGGTCTAATTTTTTTATTCTTACCATTAGTAAATTGAGTCTATTCACATTTGATTAATAAACCTGCTGTATTTGAAGTGGAAGCTTTGCAAACAATAGCTGGCAGATCCACCAAATACGAGGCTAGTATCTAGTTCTTGAAATAAATAACTGAGCAGAACTAATGCTGTCATGTGTCCTACTGACAAAGGAAATAACCTCCAGTTAACTTAGGGTGCCCTGAAACTCATTAAGATTTTCATCCTTATTCATTACTTAAATTAAATGCAACAAGTAGAATACTTACCACAGTAGATCTCAGCCAGCAGTGACAGGAATGAAACATAAACCCCAAAATTAAAAACAAAAGTTTTTATACTAATATACTTTAGTACATTTTATTTTCATAGCACATCAGTTGTGAACATTATGGACTATAAACTCCTGTAATGTAA